GTTTTGCTTCCTCAAATACCCTTCAGAAAAAAACAGCAGGAACTTACTCCACCTACTTTTGTTGAGTTCAGAATAAAAATGTAGGGAGCAAAGGCATATTTTGAATTCCCTCTAGTAGAACATTCAAAACATTTCAAATTTTGTTCTGTTAGAATATAAGATGCTTGAAATATAGTCACTTTTTAATTGGAGCTGTTACATTGCAAGCTCAGAATAAAGTATTTTGTGTACATACCTACTACTCAGACAGTAGACATGTTTACCTCTAGAGCGAATTCTGGGTTTGGAACCAATAAGTGTTCACAAGATGTGATGATTATGAAATAATACTACGATACAGAGATTGTATATATGAAGAGTGAATTATCCCCTTTTCCTTGATAAAAAGATTTTACATTATGTAGAAAGATCTATCTATCTATTTCCATCATCTTTAGAAAAAAAGCAGGAAGGAACTAAAATATGGTGGACTGGAACATGCATTTCCTATTTAATTTAATTTAATTATGTAATTCATGTCCATATATATCATTATTTCAATGTTCACCCTAGATCTAGAAAAGCAATAAAAATGGTCCAGATCTGGCTTGGGATAAGAGAACGACGTTCCAGAAAAAAATCCCTTTGGAAAAGACAGTTGTGCAATGGCTTAGAATGCTGCTAACCTGCCCCATAGTATGGTATACCAGCCTACCCAGTTTTAGCACTTCTGGATATGATAACCAGATTCCAGAATTCTCAGTAATAAGCATGTTGACTGAGGAATTCTGAGAACTGACATTTACATGTCAACAAGGTATTCAGAATGTGGAAGGCTTATATCACATACATTGATATCTCCAATTTGTTCTAGTGGTTATTGCACCAGTCTAGAAACCAGGAGATTGTGAGTTCTATTCCTACCTTTACAAGAAACCTGGCTGGGTGACTTTGGGTCAGTTATTCTCACTCACTATTGTATTGTTGTAGGGAAAATAGGAAGAGGAGGGAGTATTAGGTATGTTTGCTGCTTTAAGTTATTTATAAAAATAATATAGGCAGGATAAAAACATCTAAAGGCAAATAAAAATAAATAAAAATGGTAATTAAAGAATACATGGAATACAGTAGATATAAATAATTAAGATCTAAATAATTAACATAATTAAGACAGAATATCAGCAAATAACCCAAGCCTGCAAAGATGAAGTGAGGATTGCTAAGGCTTGAGGCAAAAGTCAAAAATAACAAAAAAAGCTTCTTTCAACATATAAAAAACAAGAAAAAAGTTAAGGAAATGATTGGTCCATTAGTGGGAGAAAGTGGTAAGAAGGTGACAAGCATCAGGGAGAAAGCAGAACGACTTAACTCTTTTTTTGCATCCGTCTTTACACAAAGGGAAAAAACAATTCACCCTATCAAAAACAGTACCGTAAAAAACAGATTAGAAACACAAGTTAAGATAGGCAAGAAAATGGTAAGCAAGCACCTGTCCACTCTAGATAAGTTCAAATCACCAGGACCAGATGGATTACACCTCAAGGTTTTGAAGGAACTGGCAGATATGATTTCAGAACCACTGAACTATATCCTGGATATCCTGGAGCACTGAGAAACTACCAGAGGACTGGAAAAGAGCTGATGTAGTTCCCATCTTTAAAAAAGGAGAAAAAATGGATCCAGGAAATTACAGACCTATCAGCCTGACCTCAATACCTAGGAAGATTCTGGAAAAGATAATCAAGCAACAAATCAGCAAGCACCTAGAGCAGCGGTTCTCAACCTTTGTGTGACGGCGCCCCCGTCACACGGACACGCCACACATGCGCAGCGTGCATGCGCGATGGCGCCCCGCGCACGGCACCCGTGCACGGCGGCGGCCCCATGCGCAGCAGGCATGCGCAGCGGTGGCCCCATGCACGGCGCCGCACCCTGAGGGGGGAAAATGGCAGATCGCGTTGTTTGGCAACCCCCGTAAAATGGTCGTTCGACCCCAAATGGGGTCACGACCCATAGGTTGAGAACCGCTGACCTAGAGGCAAATAAACTCATTACCAAAAGCCAACATGGGTTTGTCATAAACAGATCATGCCAGACAAATCTTATTACATTCTTTGATCAGGTGACAAAATTAGTGGACCATAGGAATGATGTGGATATAATTTACTTGGATTTCAGTAAGGCATTTGATAAAGTAGACCACAACCTACTCGATAAGATAGAAAATTGTGGCTTAGACAGCATCACCACCAGATGGATTCATAGGGTTTCCTGCCTGAGCAGGGGGTTGGATTAGATTGGGGACTATGTTAGATAAATTGCAGGATTCTATCTCATTTGTATTGCAGCAACAACTGACTTCTTCTTCTTGTGCCATATCTATTATTGGACATTGGCGATCATGTTGGCGATCCTGTTTTTATCAGCAGCCGCAAGAAAAAGTGCTGCTGAGTTTTGTCCAAACCAGTCCCTTAGATTTTGAAAACATGATGTTCTTCTGCCTGGACCTTGTTTGCCTTCAAACCTTCCCTGGAGGATTAAATGGAGTATGCCACATTTTTCTGGGTGTCGCATCACATGTCCAAAACATTCTAATTTTCTGCAAGATGGTAGGTTACTCAGTCAAATTATAAGTATAAGGGTCTACCATCATCCTTGCTACATCATCTCTGGCTGGAAAAGTGAAGAATCCCTTTTGAAACAAATCTCTTGTTTGAAACAAAAAATTCTTTTAAATAATGATATAAGTGCAGCAAAACAAGCAAACTGTAAAACTTGTAGGTTTTTTAAATAGAACTTTTCACTTCCCAGAACGAATAACAACTTTCACTTTGTAAAGATAACTGCCTGAACAATAGTAATTTACACAGCTTTTAAACTGTATTTATTTATAGAACTCCAAGTGTCTGTACACGGAACTTAACTATGTTCCGCTATTTAAAATATGTTAACACAGAAAGTTAACCTACTGAACAATGACATGTCCTGGTCTATATATTTAGGAAAGCTGACAGTCACATTTATTTCAGTAGTAATCAGTTTTTACTGAAGAAAAAAAAAATCAAAAGGCAACAAGGAACTCTTGCATCTAACAGCCACTCTTTACCCCCACCTCCTAAATCCTCTTTCTAAGATTTACATGAAATCTATGATAATGTTGATGGAGAAGATGATATTCTTTATTTCTATTTTGGGGTGAGAAGTTATAAAATTAAGTGCAAGATTTGCCCCAACTTAGCACAATTATTTTACCTACTTCTTGCAAAAATGCAGAGAATTACACCATCAAAAATTATTAATCCAGTGATATAATGGGAAGGGAGGGGCCTGTAAAGATTATGGAAATATGAAGCTTAACGTTGTTTAATTTTGACTGGATTGCTCACTTCTATAATTTGATATCTATAGGTCAGGGGTGTCAAACTCGCGTGATGTGTCTCATGACGTGTCGCGACGTATCATGACTTTTTTTTCTTTGCTGGCAATGGGCTGGGCACGGTTTCGCCATGATGCATCCAGCCCACGGGCCAGCAGTTTGACACCCCTGCTATAGGTCTAGTAGACTGTAACTTAGAAAAATAGAGCGAGCATAAATGATATCTAATTGATTTTATTAGTTCCTTTAGTACCCAATCTAGAGATAAGGTAGTTCTTTGTCTCTAGACAACGCTGGTTCTTTGATTTAAGAAATAGAGATGAGAACCACCTGCTAAAATCAGTCATGATTAGCAGAGTAAAACCCACAGGGACACTTTTAGCTTTTTATTTATTTATTTATTTATTTTACCTGCATTTTGATTTCTTGCTGATCTTTGACAATGCATAATTTTTAATTTTGAAGAAACTAATTATTAAAATGAAATATATGACTGTATTTGCACATGTATTTAGGATGTATTTTCAGTGTAGTACAACATATAAGAATTTAGATAGGAAATTCTAACACTTCCCTTAATGGGAATTATTTGGCTAATCCCCAATGTATTTCATCTAAACATAACCATAGATATCCCAAAGGTGCTTTTTCAAGTGGCAACTGGACTTTTGTATTTTTCTTCTCATCCAAGAAGTTTCTTCAGCTCTGGCTGGATGGTGGTGAATGGAAAGATTTATACTTATTGCAGACAGATTGTAATTTGCATTCTTTTAGAAAATCACTGAGGTCACTTGGAGGATTATTTGTGTCCTCAGGGTTACCTGAGTGGTACAAATGGGTGTGGAGCCTTCTTGGAACTGCTGAAAGGACTGTCTGGTAGAGATAGATGTTGTTGTAGAGAGCTATTCAATTTTGACGCAGATGGCCTCTTTGAACCCTCTTTCAAACCAGTGGTCCTCTCTATCCAAAATGTGGACTTTGCTGTCTTCAAAAGAGTGCCTTTGTCTTTTAAATGCAGATGGGCTGCTGAATCTTGTCCTGATGGGTTTGTTCTCCTATGCTGTGCCATGTCCTGATGGGTTTGTTCTCCTATGCTGTGCCATGCATTTATGAAGTGGTTTTGTTTCAACACTGTACAGATCTGCACGTCTTACTGCCTTGTACTGCATATAACCCTTGGATGAAAAACGAAACATCTTCAAAGAAAGTCCAGTTGCCTCTTGAAAAAGCACTTTGGGATAACCATGACTTAGATGACTGAAAATCTCTATAGATATGTAACCATAGATAGTGCATGTATAATAAATAAATATGGTATTATGATGACTGGCAGGAGAGAGAAATTGAAAACATTTTTTTTGTGTGGAGCCAGTTCCCTATCAAAATAAATATTGTGCCTGCATAAAGAGCAAAAGTAGATCCTACAAACAGCATCACCAATCTCTCTGCAGTTTCCAACAGTGCAATTTCTCATTCATAATATATAGACAACCCCTGTTCCTTTTTTACTGAAATATCTTTAATTTGGGCATCATACGGTAAAAGATATATTCCAGAAATTCTGAGCTATCATTCCAAGTTAAGCATTTCCGTTCATTGCTGTTGAAGTAATAAGTAATCTGTCAAGCAAAAGATAAAGGCTCACCTTATAACAAACTCATGGTTGTCAATCTCTTTTCCACACCCACTATCCAGAAGGATGCCAGAATTTCCTACAACAGAACATGCCTTAAATCGACGATTCTTCATTGGAGAAACTTCAGGAAGGAGGCTATGCAAATCCTGAGAAATATTTAGTGTACGGCGTCTGTCTAACACATAGTGGATTACATCTCCAGGCTTGAAACTGCTTTTGACGACTGAGATGTCTCTTTCGGCATCCAAGAATCGAAGAATATTCTTCCTGTATTATAAAGAAGAAGGCAAATGCATTGTACCTCTTTAAAAACTTAAGCAAATTGTTGTTGGATGATGCCCAGTACACAAGAAAACCTGTTGCTCATAAATCACTTTTGAAAGATGTATTTCAGAAAACCAATCTGAGTTTTTTTGGGGGGAAAACTCACCTCCGAACTTGCATGGTCACTTCAAGATACTTCATACTTCAATTGCCTAATTCAAAATGTCAGATGAAATAAACTTTCTGCAATACACCAGGAGGAAACCAACATTTAGGACAGAGGAGGAAATAATACCAAAGTTGAAGACTCTGATTCTCACTGAAATGGTATGAGGCCCTAGTTTGAATTTTATATGATACCCCTTTTGTGCAAATCCTCCATTTCTGTGATCAAACAGTTTCTAATATTCAGCAAGTTATTATTCGAAGAATGGAAACATTTTTTCTTTTTTTTTCAGCAAGATATGACACCTCTTGAAACAAAGAGTGAAAATTTATTATCTGTGAACTTTTTAAAATTATAATGAAATTACATTTGTAAAGCAGCTCCTGCAAATCTATTTTACTGATTTTTTTAATCAATAAAGCAGGCAACAATTTTTGAAGAAAAATTAGATTCAATCATATCTGTAACAAAATATCACCTATAAAAAGCATAATTCTACACACAACACAATAAAGAACTTTTAAACATTCCCGTTTATTTAAGAAATCAGTTTTAGATAACATACTAAATTATAGTTATATGTACAATATTAATAAGAAGTTAGGCCAAGATGGCAAGCAAAGAACCTGTTTCTAATGGATGGTTATTTCTAATGTTTTCATCTGCAACTTTACATTAGTGTACATTTTTAATAGAAATGTCATTTCAAAGTAGTTTTTCCAGGACAGTCCTGAAAGATCTATTAAAAAAGTTAATTGTAGAGTCAGACTTTATCCATGAGAAAATGGCATCACTTTGATTCTAAATCCCTACCTCTCATCCTACCCATTATCCAAACAAGCCCACTGTAAAGAGCAAATAATACTTCGGAAGCCCTGTTCCTGACAAGAAAATTTTCTCTTGTCCTCTGCTTTGGGAACGGACTCACTGTGTGCTTTCTCTTACTGTTTCCTTTGAAGAGAGAATGAGTTGCTTAGGGCACTGTGTGGCTATTTCTCGGAGATCAGATTTGGGATAGAGCAATGAGATTAGTGAATAGAAAATACAATGAGTCTCTCAGAAGAGCAAAGAGGATTCTGCTGAAGTTGAGAATTTTCTGCATTCTATGAAATATACTGTACTGGATATCAAGGACCATAAGACTCTTTCTCTCATCTCCATACATGCACAACATCCTCTCCTTCATCTCCCCAATGTAGCCTTAACTGAAGGAGAGAAAGAAACAAACTTGCACATTATATGCAGAAATCCTTGATGCCTCATAGAGTGTAAGAGGTTCCTCAAAAACGCCACATGCAGACAACACAGTGATAGAATCCATTTATAAATGTGGTTGGCGAAGTCAAACCAGACATTCTAGACCAGTGCTTCTCAACGTTTGTGTGACGGCGACCCCGTCACACAAACGTTCTGCGCATGCGCCGGGCCGCGCGCATGGGGGTGGGGCCCCATGCGCGGTGTGCATGCGCGGCGACGCCCCCATGCATGGTGCGCATGCGCGATGCCCCCCATGCGCGACACGTGTGCACGGCGCCACCCCATGCGCGACGCGCATGCGCAGGGCTCCCCCATGCGTGGCGCGCGTGCACGGCGCCGCCCCCATGTGCAGCGCGCGCGCAGCGGCGCCCCCATGCGTGGCACGCGTGCACGGCACCACCCCCGTGCGCGGCGCGCGTGCACCGCACCGCGAAAAATGGCGGATCGCCGCCTTTGGCGACCCCCGAAAAATGGGCGATCGACCCCAAATGGGGTCGCGACCCATAGGTTGAGAACCGCTGTTCTGGACTAAGGTATGGGGTTGGGGTGCATTTGGCTGGATTCTCAGATGAAATGCATGAGGGTGAGACAGAGAACAAGCTGTGTTTTCTTTCAAATGAATATTGCAGTATTTATTTTATACAGGTTTTAATGGTCAAGAATTCCATTATAACAGCCAGAGAAGTACCAAAACTGATAGCTAACCACAGATTCACACATTAATTCAAGAGAGGAAGATAGCAATTTTCTATAAGACTGTGCCAAGAGTAATTGCAGAGTGAGTTTATTGTTTCATATAGATGCAGTTCTTCTCAAGTACCTTCAGCACAAGTGTGTCCCTAAAGCAGCAGGAGATAAATTCAACTCAGAAACTTGACCTTTATGCATTTAAAATACTAAAGCCACAGGCAGTTCAACCCTTATTTTTTAAGAAAAAAAAAACCAGCTCTGTATGAGAGCAATATAAATCTGTGGAAAGAACTTTGAGTAGAAAGGATTCAAGAAAAGGAAAAATTGGGAAAAGGAACAGATGGTTACAACACTTCATTTAGTGACTGTTCAAAGTTACAGCAACACTGAAAAAAGTGTTCCTTCATGATTTCAGACAAGTTGATGGTCCCTCTTCTACCATGGATCACGTTTGTAGGCATCCCATTATAAAGCTTTTTTTAAAAAACGAGTTTGCTATAACTTAGCATTGAACACGAAAGGATGTTTTTCAATACGCTCCCCCACATATTTCTGATCCATCTAAGTGAATTTCTGGTGCATACTCAAGATAGAGTATGCAAGATAGAGATGTTGACTCACCTTTCAGAAACTGTTATGTGCCCCAGGAGGCTACGATGTGTTATTCTTCAAGCACTGCAAACAACCTGCCTACCTGATAAATATCCCATATTTTAGAAAGGTCTAGCTTGACAATTATTCTTTTCCTAGCCTGTAGTCTTTAATAATTAACCTTATACTTGAAACTCAGCTTCAAAGCCATCATCTCCAATGGTTTATTGTTTATCTTATGCTAAGGAATGGATAACCTTTTAGTAGCAGGACATATTCAATAATTTTTTTTTTTGGAGAAGCAAAGATTGCATCTGCAAAAGAGTTGGGGCAATGTCACACATGAAGATAGGAATGTTTCTTGCATGTATGCAGATTGTCAACGGATGAAGTTTTCCTTTAAAAAAAAAACATATGAAGCCTTGTTTAGGTTTTATGGCAGCTGAACATGCTCCAATCTTATGCAATTTCTTCTCTCAGGATTTCCCAGACAACATGGCTGTTGCTCAGATTTCTGGAAGTTAAAGTACTTATTCCATAAAAGGTGAATTGTGAAAAATTTAGTGAAGGCAATGGACAAATGACCACACGGTAGTGGCTAAGTCTCCAACCTTGGCAATTTTATGACTTGTATGGCTAGCTGAGGAATTCTGTGGTTTCAAGTCCACAAGTTGTAAAATTGCAAAGGTTGGAGCCCCTGACTTAGAGGACTAAAAGGAAGTAAGTTAAATTAAATGAATAATTAAAAATGCTTAGTCATAATGACCTTGTTTCCTCCAGTTGTGCCTACCAGCTGTTAAAGAACAGCAACAGTCCCCTTTATCATATTCTGCTTAGAAAATTCATATGGGGATCTGACTGGTCATACGAAAAATAGAATATAAGACTAGATGGGTCTTTCATTTCCTCTAGCACAGGGGTATCAAACTGTGTGACATTGCGAGTTTGATACCCCTGCTCTAGCAGAACTCTTTTCTTTGTAAATGACAACTGCAATATATCTTCAGACTTTAAAACAAGATATAAACTAGAAAAAAAGATATATTTTCAAAAGAGAGAGACACATAGGAAATAATGCCATTAAAATCCTGAGTATCCACATATGTGGTTAGAAAAAATATTGGGCGAACAAATGGATTTTAAACCTGAACTTTTTTTACTAGGCATTATGTCTGAAAAGATTAATGGGCAGGAATTATATTTAATTCTATATATTACCACAGCAGCAAGAATAATTTTTGCACAGTACTGGAAGAATGAAGGATTGCCACCAGAAGAAGAAATAATCATGAAAATATTGGAATGTGCAGAGATGGACAGACTAACTATGAGGCTGAAAGACAAAGAAGATACGGACTATTATAAAATTTGGAATTTATTTTATTCTTGGTTAGAGAAAAGAATGAAGGATTAGGAAGTGAACATGTATTAGCTTAGCAAACACCAGACAACTTGTTTGATTGGAAAAATTAACATATGTTGATGGGGAAAAAATTAATAAAAAAGATTGTTGAAAAAAAAATCCTGAGTATCCATATTCAGTGCTTAAGTCAGAAGAATATTTCTTACATTCTAACTTTAAGTTATTTCAGTGAGGTATATTTTCTCTCTCTCTCTCTCTCACCCAGCCACCCACCCACACACACACACACATGAAACTTAAATATTGCTAAATGTGGGAGGAAAAATGTTTCTCTCTCTTCAATATACAATATACCACTAAGAACAAGGAAATATATGTTTCAGAGTAATGAAGCAAAATGAAAAATATTAAAACCTAAAGTACTTAGAGCTCCAGATAAATGATAATAAAGTAATGCAAATGTTTCATTTCCCTACAGTTTCACTGCTCTGCTATTTTTTTTTTTAATTTTTATCCTTAATGTAATCTTGCAACCAAATGGTTTTAAAAGCCTTTCAAGTCCAAAATACCTAGGTTGGCAAAATGTATGAGTATTGGAAAAACTACATTAAAGAATAAAATAAGCAACCAATCTAACTCCACTAATAGTTCCAAAAGGATAATGCAGAGAATTGTAACGAATTTGTACAAGTTTCCCAGTTTCTGACTCAAAACAGGTGGCTGCATTATGCTAAGTCAAACAACTGCTCTAAATCAGTGGTATCAGAGATGCAGATTCCTTTTTTCTGTAATAGTCCTATTCCACGGGTGTCAAACTCGCTGCATCACACAACTTTTTTTGCATTGCCAGAGCTGGGGTGGGCACGGCCTCTGTATGATACAACTGGTCCATGGGCAGCAGTTTGACACCCCTGTACTATTCCCTTGAGAATATGG